ATTGTAGCAAATCCAGACAAATTAAGGCATGATAACTCTGACTATGTGAAAGCTACTGCTGACACAGGAATGGAGTTATTACTGCTCTGAATCTATTATGATCGCATGAAAGCTTAACTGCATGAAAATAATGGAGCATTATATTTCAGCTTTTGGTTCAAACTATGTACAGCTGAGCATTGATTACTGAGATTATCTATCTATCTATCTATCTATCTATCTATCTATCTGGAATTTCATATGTATTTCTTCCAGATATGGATAGCTGCTTCCTGTGTCCAGAGGGCCATTATCCAAATATTAACAGAGATTTCTGCCTCCCCAAAACGATAACCTTCTTGTCTTATGAAGAACCTTTGGGAATAGGTTTGGCCATTGCTGCTCTCTCCCTTTCTTTCATTACAGCTCTGGTGCTGGGAACCTTTATGAAACACCACAAGACGCCCATTGTCAAAGCCAATAACCAGAGCCTTTCCTACACTCTCCTCGTCTCCCTCCTGCTTTCTTTCCTTTGTGCTTTTTTATTCATTGGTCGACCCAATGCAGTGACGTGCCTCCTTCGACAAACCGTTTTTGGTATCATCTTCTCAGTGGCTGTTTCTTGCATGTTGGCCAAAACCATCACCGTGATTCTAGCTTTCATGGCCACCAAGCCAGGATCCAAAATGAGGAAATGGATGGGGTGGAAAGTGGCTGTCTCTATTGTTCTTTCGTGCTTCCTTATTCAAGTCACTCTTTGCACTGGTTGGCTGGCAACCTCTCCACCATTCCCAGAATTGGACATGCATTCAGCTATTAGTGAAACCATTGTGCAATGTAATGAAGGGTCAGATGTAATGTTTTATTGTGTATTGGGCTTCATGGGTTTCTTGGCTACTGTCAGTTTCACTGTGGCTTTCCTAGCCAGGAAGTTACCAGACACCTTCCAGGAAACTAAATCAATTACCTTCAGCATGTTATTGTTTTGCAGTGTTTGGCTATCCTTCTTTCCTACCCACCTGAGCACCAAAGGCAAATACATGGTGGCTGTTGAGATCTTCTCCATCTTGGCTTCCAGTGCAGGATTACTGGGTTGTATCTTTTTCCCTAAATGCTACATCATTTTGCTGAGACCTGATTTGAACAAAAAGGCACATCTAATAAAGAGAATGATTTGACCATCTTTTCCTTTGGCCTGTGCTTGAGGTTACTTTCCATTATTCTTGCTTGAGTTTCTCTTTCTGCAGGAGTGGTAATAAGTATTAGGAATTCTGTAGCCGATCTCCTCAGCACATTTTAGGGGTTCATTGGAGAGAAGAAAATGGTCAATTGTTATATTTTCATGATGATAATAATGACAATGGTTATTATATTTAGGGTGATGATGATGATGATTGTGTTGATTTGGAGCTGTCTGCAACTACCTCAGGCAAAGCAAGAATCCCATCAAACTGGCATAATTTGGTTTCTGTTTCAGGGTGTGGCTGAATCCTGTGCACAGCCCTGTCAGTCTACACCTTGGGTAAAACATTATGCCATTTCAACATTCCAATCTGCCACATCTTTTCTGGTATTTTACCTTGCATCTTTGTTTTCTGGCATTGTTTATGGGTCATTGCAAGCCTTTGTGTCTCTTGCTATTCCACTGCAGTGAATCAGTAAAACTTTCTATGGACACACAGTAAACATATTTTGTTCTGCTTTGTTCCATACAGTATCTAACTCTGAGCATGCAGTTATCTCCCCTGTAATTATTCCAAATTAACTATTATTGATTTGACTTCGTCCTCATGTCCCAAAGGAGTTACGGTTGCCAGCTGTAAAAAAATATGAAGCAAGATAGAAGAATGTCATTAACACACCCTGGTGTATTCAGAACCTGGACTTAGTGAAGTCAGGACTCCATTATTCTGATAACTGATACTTCATCCCAACTTCAAACTATAGCATAAAACACTGATTTTGTGGTTGTTAGTGAGGACTATGCTCAGGGGCACTCAAAGGACAATGTGGGAACAGGTGAAGGATTGCCATTGTACAAGATGCTGACATTTGTGGTGTTGGGATTACTGTTCCTCCCTCAAACAGTAAGCAGGATATCTGCTGTTAAATGCACAACGAGTGAGCCTATTCCTATTCTTCACAAATATTTTCAATCAGGGGAGCTCACTATTGCTGGCATAATTTCTCAGATCTACATCCTTTATGATCCAATCACATTTGAAAGACATCCCTATCAGGAGCTGATTGATGATTTCATGTAAGGAACCGAGTCTGTTAGCCTTCCCATGCCTTTTTCCAAGTAATATTTTAGACTAGTGTGGTATGGCATTGACTGCAGTAGAGTGGAGGTTTACTTAAACAAATTCATTTATGCGTTGGAGCTTTAAACTACTTAATGAAAAGTTCTGTAATACTGTACATAATAAAAATCAGCATAACTAAATAATATTGTGAGGGCCATATGCAAGAGCTGTGGTGACCTTGCTATCTCTGAATAAGCAGAAAGAATATGTTTCGTAAGCATATAAAACAGTGCAATGAAGATGTCTGCCTAATATTAAAAGGCAGCACATTCTGAAGCACAGTTGCTATCACATGGAAGATAAACTCCTACTCAGAAACGCAGAACAAATATTATATGACATTTGCAGATTTGCAGGTTCCTACCAATGCATCCTTCTTTGTTCAAAAGGATTTCCAAACTCTGCTTGTGCTACATGCCATTGCAGTAATAATAATAATAATAATAATAATAATAATGTAGTTGAGGTAGATGTAGCACCATTATCAAAGAAACAGTCAGTACACCTAGCACCCCACACATATAGAAGTATATATCTACCTGATATTGACACATAATCTTGTGTGAGCAGAACGAGAATATCCACCGCCAAACACTGTGTGCTCATTAATGAAACTGACCCACTTCACAGAGAAAGTGCCATGTCAGTTGTGAACACATCCCTGTTTGTCACTCAACCCAAAATCAGCTGCATCTGCTTTCTATCTAATAAGTAAGAACCATATCTATGCAAGTACCCCTGTGAGCTAGTGAGTAGTAATTGTATTGAACATATGGGTCAATATGCTTCCAAACTAGTGGCTCTGGGCCAATGTTATTTCCATTGAGCTGAGGCCCACAATCTTTCTTAATGCAATTATGCTTAGCAAAAGTATGTTGAATAGAAATGCAGCTACTATTTTCCCCCTGAAATTGCAGCACTCTTTCATTTCATGTGATCCTCGTTTCAGGCTACTGTCACAGAACTACCAGCATGTTTTGGCCTTGGTATTTGCAGTGAAGGAGATCAACGAGAACCCCCAAATCTTACCCAACATCACTCTTGGTTTTGACATCTATAATCATTACTTTAATCCACAATTCACAAGTCAGGCAGCATTAAAAGTTCTCTCCACACATGACAAATTCATCCCTAACTACAAATGTGATGTCGAGAACAATCTGGTAACTGTCATTGGGGGACCCAATTCCAACATCATTGGACATATTGCAACCATACTGGGCATCTACAAGTTTCCACAAGTAAGGCATGTGCATGGGGATTATTTTAAGATGAAGGTTTTGAATTTGAAAGTGGAAAACGATGTGATTGAAATTAAGAAAGACACTATGCATGCTGCTTAAACATCAAATTCTGAGTGAGGAATCTCAATTTGGCAATTTGATTTCTTTCTCATATGTATAGCCTCTGATACAACATGTGACATCATCTCAGAACACATGGTAAATAGCCTAGTTGGCTGGATTCTAAAAACTTCCAACAGTAACATAATAGAACAATATGATAGATTGTGGTTCCACAAAATGCAAAGGATGAATGCAATTCAAGTTTACACAGAGTAGATTCATCATAATTAATGAAAGTCACTAATGCAGATTTATTTATTTCTATGGAACTGCCCTGAGTAAAACATAACTGCATACAACTCTAGTTACTTATTTACAAATGAAATGTCAGAACAACAGGCTTGAAGTGAGGATGGCAGAAGAGAGAAATAAATTCTACCTGACAGAAACTCCTGGGAGCCAGACTGATATCCTTTGGATCTGCATGCAGTTGCCCCACCTAATAAGTCACAGGACTGCAGTTTACAGGATCTACTTTGTCAGCGACTTCTCTCAGTCTATGGAATGAATCTGTCCACCATGACTGTCTAGTGAATCAGTCTGTGGTCATTAGTGCTTTGAGCAAAAAGAGTATTGATCAGCTTCACTGTGTTCCTGTACCTCTCACAGTCATGAGTTACATTCATTTCAGGGATAGATTGAGATAATTAGAGAAAGGAAGGTTTGCATACTCTTTTTGTCCATTAAATAGATCCCATACATGGCCTCTGGGCACAATCTTGGTCTCCTTTTAAGTCACCCACACTCGTCCGGCAGCATATCAGTCTCCCAACATAGGCAGTGGGTTTTTCAGAGCATCAAAGGTCAATACAGTGGTACCTCGGGTTACATACGCTTCAGGTTACAGACTCTGCTAACCCAGAAACAGTACCTCAGGTTAAGAACTTTGCTTCAGGATGAGAACAGAAATCGCGCGGTGGCGGCAGGGCAGCAGTGGGATGCCCCATTAGCTAAAGTGGTGTCTCAGGTTAAGAACAGTTTCAGGTTAAGAACGGACCTCCGAAACGAATTAAGTACGTAACCAGAGGTACCAATGTACTCTTATTGCTAGAGTGAATTTTTATAGCTAAGATTTATGCCTTGGCTATAACCAAGCAACATGTAATCACCTCACTCGGGGAACTGCTAATAAAAGACACTCAGTCTGAAATGATATCCTCTCCAGAACTATGACTTGCCCTCCAGTTGTGGCTTCCTTCCTCCACTTTGATCCCCAAGGATAACTCTTGGTTCCTTTTTCCTGCCCTGACTCAGTCTTATTGACTCCGACCTGCCATGTCTCTAGCCTTTCCTCCTGTATCTCTATTTTAGTTCTCTATTCATACAACCAGGCTCAATGCTTCATGATGGCTAATGAAACCTTCCTGAGGAATACTTCAGTCAGTAGAGCAGGAAACTCTTAATCTCGGGGTTGTGGGTTCGAGCCCCACATTGGACAACATATTCCTGCATTACAGGGGGTTGGACTAGATGCTCCTTGTTGTCCCTTCCAACTATAAAATTCTAGGGTTCTTTGATTCTAGGAATATATGCTGAAGACAGAAAAAAATCTTTGGGAACTGACCTGATGCTTTCAAGATAGGACAGTGGTACCTCGGGTTAAGAACTTTATTTGTTCTGGAGGTCCGTTTGTAACCTGAAACTGTTCTTAACCTGAGGTACCACTTTAGCTAATGGGGCCTCCCGCTGCTGCCACGCCGCGGCATGATTTCTGTTCTCATCCTGAAGCAAAGTTCTTAACCCGAGGTACTATTTCTGCAGAGTCTGTAACCTGAAGCGTCTGTAACCTGAAGCGTCTGTAACACGAGATAGCACTGTACCAGATTTTGATAATACACATACACAGAAGGGCTGTGGCTCAGTCACAGAGCATCTTTCTTGCATGTGGAAGATCCCAGGTTCAGTCCCCCAGCTTCTCCCTGTAGGGCAGTGAGAGACCTTTGTCCGTAGCCCTACACATCTGCTGCCTCTCATTGTAGATAAAGCTAAGTGAAATGGACCAGTGGTATGATTCAACAGAAGGCAGCTTCCTATGTTCCTAAATAGCACCACTTCCTACCTGCTCCTTTTTTTATTTCTTGTCTTTAGCTGATATATGCCTCTGCTTCAGAGAAAAATAACAATGCTGAAGATGCTTTCTTCCACTGGATGTTCCCAAATGGGGCCCATCAATACAGGGGGATCCTCCAGTTATTGTTGCATTTCAGGTGGACATGGATTGGGGTGCTTTACCTCGATGTGGACAGTTCTAAGATATTTGTACAGAAGGTGCTTTCCATGTTTGCCGATAATGGTATTTGCTTTGACTTCATCAAAACCATACCAGATATAGGATTTTCTAATCAACTCCATGAAATGGCAGAGAAGGCATGTGAGATTATAAATATTACCATGGAAAGCACAGTCAATACCGTGATCTTCCATGGTGACTTTCAGGCAATGTTAAACTTAAGAATCCTGCTCAGGTTCTCACAATTTGGGGATGTACCAGTGAAGACGAAGGTCTGGATTATGACAGCAGATGTGGATTTCACATCAATTCCCGTTCAAAGAAGCTGGGACATTCATTTCATCCATGGCTCTGTAACCCTTGCAGTCTCCTCAAAGGAGGTGGCAGGATTCCAGGAATTTCTGCAAATGAGGAATCCAACAGTGGAAAAAGAGGATGGTTTCCTGTGGGACTTCTGGCAAAAGGTATTTGATTGCTTGCTCCCCAGCTCTGATGAAGACAAGAGGGATGGAAATATCTGCACTGGGGAAGAGAAACTGGAGTCTCTTCCTGGATCTGTTTTTGAAATGAGCATGACTGCCCACAGCTACAGCATCTACAATGCCATCTATGCTGTGGCACATGCTTTGCATGCCATGTATTCTTCCATATCAAAGTGCAGGGCAGTGTTGAATGCAGACAGATGGAAGGACCAGAATAAGAAGTCATGGCAGGTAATCCTATTCAGTGTGATCCAATAACCTGAGATTTCAACTTGCATGATATTTCCCTCCTCGGAACAGGGACATGCAAACATATCTCAAATGACAACAATTTGCATCTAAATATGTATGTTTGCATCTCTTACTTTTCTTTGCAGCTCCCCCACTTTCTGAGAAGCACCCCATTTAACAACAGTGCTGGAGATGAGGTTTCCTTTGACCTTAATGGGGAATTAGTAGCTGGATTTGATATTATCAACTGGGTGACATTCACAAACCAGTCCTTCCTTAGAGCAAAAGTTGGGAGGATAGATCCTCAGGCACACTCAGAGAATCTGTTCACCATTTCTGAAGATGCCATCATATGGCCCAGCAGGTTCAATCAGGTAGGACATGTGTACTTAAACACATAGTTAAATACCTGTGCAATATTCAAAAATGTTTCAGTCTTCAGACACGAAAATAGGTCTGTTTTGTGTATAGCGCTTCCTGCTTTCTATCACATGGGCTCCTTTGGAAGGAAGGGGGAAATATTGATTAAATAAATAATTAAGCAAATCATCCCTAATTTCCATCTACAGATTCAATTTGGTATCTAAGGCACCTGTTTTTTTCAGAAACACCATGGAAACAGGTACATATTTAGAAACCACCAATGTCAAAAGACAAATCTGAAAACAAAATTGTACAGCAGCCTTCACCAATTGATGCCTTCTCATGATGGTGCAGATGAAACAATGAGAATTGACATCTAAAGTATCTGGAGGCCACCGGGTTGGTGAAGGTTGCTGTAAAGCATAATGTTATAATGCTGAGTAAGAAAAAACATAACCAATTAAAGATAAGTCAAAAGATTGGAAAAATGGTTCATTTTTCATGTTCTGAAATTAATTTAAAAAATCAGTATCCTCAGTTTCATATATTTTGCCTTTGATAAACGTCATCTTAATTTATTGGCAGACACACCCTCTTTCAGTGTGTAATGACAATTGCCTTCCCGGTTATCACAAGACAAAGAAGGAAGGGGAACCATTTTGCTGTTATGATTGTCATCCCTGTCCGGAGGGGAAGATTGCAAACCAGAAGGGTAAGAAATGCCATTATATCCATCGTTTATACTTCAAGGTGTATGGACATTTTTTGCTCAGCACCAGCAGTTCCATGCTATGTACAACTTAGCCTTTATTTACTCAGATGCTATATACAGTGGTACCTCGGGTTAAGTACTTAATTCGTTCCGGATGTCCGTTCTTAACCTGAAACTGTTCTTAACCTGAAGCACCACTTTAGCTAATGGGGCTTCCTGTTGCCGCCGCGCCGCTGGAGCACGATTTCTGTTCTCATCCTGAAGCAAAGTTCTTAACCTGAAGCGCTATTTCTGGGTTAGCGGAGTCTGTAACCTGAAGCGTATGTAACCTGAAGCGTATGTAACCTGAGGTACCACTGTACAGGAATTGTGGGTGTGGGTGAGTGTACACATAAGTACATATATATTCAGGAATTTAACATTAATTTCTTCCAGATATGGATAGCTGCTTTCAGTGTCCAGAGAGCCATTATCCAAATATTAACAGGGATTTCTGCCTCCACAAAGCTATAACCTTCTTGTCTTATGAAGATTCTTTGGGAATAGGTTTGGCCATTGCTGCTCTCTCCCTTTCTTTCATTACAGCTCTGGTGCTGGGAACCTTTATGAAACACCACAACACGCCCATTGTCAAAGCCAATAACCAGAGCCTTTCCTACACTCTCCTCGTCTCCCTCCTGCTTTCTTTCCTTTGTGCTTTTTTATTTGTTGGTCGACCCAATGCAGTGACATGCCTCCTTCGACAAACCACTTTTGGTATCATCTTCTCAGTGGCTGTTTCTTGCATGTTGGCCAAAACCATCACCGTGATTCTAGCTTTCATGGCCACCAAGCCAGGATCCAAAATGAGGAAATGGATGGGGTGGAAAGTGACTGCCTCTATTATTCTTTCATGCTCCCTTATTCAAGTCACTCTTTGCACTATCTGGCTGGCAACCTCTCCACCGTTTCCAGAATTGGACATGCATTCAGCTATCAGTGAGACCATTGTACAATGTAATGAAGGGTCAGATGTAATGTTTTATTGTGTATTGGGCTTCATGGGTTTCTTGGCTACTGTCAGTTTCACTGTGGCTTTCCTAGCCAGGAGATTACCAGACACTTTCCAGGAAACTAAGTCAATCACCTTCAGCATGTTATTATTTTGCAGTGTTTGGTTATCCTTCTTCCCTACCTACCTGAGCACCAAAGGCAAATACATGGTGGCTGTTGAGATCTTCTCCATCTTGGCTTCCAGTGCTGGATTACTGGGTTGTGTCTTTTTCCCCAAATGCTACATTATTTTGCTGAGGCCTGATTTGAACAAAAAGGCACATCTAATAAAAAGAATATGTTAAAATAACAACAACAACCTGTTGTCTTCTGTGATTGAAAGTTACAGTATGTTATTTAAGCTTTTATAAGATTTCTCATACTGTAGCACTGTGCTACAGTGCTTAATTACTGGGTATATGTATATTTCTTTGGGAATGTGTGTGAGATTTGTCTCTTTCTAGTCAAACATGTCTAGGATCAAAGAAGATGCTCACTATTATAAATGTCTATGCTAGACATGAATATCTGCTTCCAATTCTAAACCACCCTGAAGCCATTCCACTGAAGGACGTTAAAGATTAATTTGAAATAAGTCAATAAACTAAAGTGAACCCTGAACTGTTATTCATTTTAAATGATTTTATTATTTATTTATTAGATTTATGTATATACCGCCTTTCATCATAAAATCTCAGGGTGATTCACAACAGTAAACCGCCTTTCCTTTCACAATAGTAAATATTAACACTGGAACCACAGTTGTGTCCAAATTAGCAGATGACAATGCCATTTTGCTGGATAATGCTCCAAGAGTTCAGGAATAACCTTTTTCACATCTGATTCCACCCATTAGAAAAGTATGTCTTTTCATGTGATTTGGATGCACTTCTGAATGCATGTCCTCACTTTCCATATGTTCTAGCTAATCATGTGTAATAACACAGGATGAGAGCAAAGGTGGGAAACTATTTTGGCTGGATGCACAAAAATGTGAAAAAATGGAAGGTGGGCAATTTTGCAGCACCTCTTGCAGCTGGTTTCCAGTCCATTGCCACCTTATTTCCTGTACAAGCCTTTTGGTCTATATACATATGTATGAAAGCTACATCATTAGTGGCACCTTTTTTGCAAAAAGATTGACATCAGGTATAATTGGCATGAACCTGGACATGTGTTGACCAACATGGGTGCAAGAATGTCCTAATGAAACCCATGTTTTCTAATTCTAAATCTAGGCCCCAAGCTTAGAAATAAACCCAAAATTGTTTGTTTTACACACTTAATAAAAACTTTAAAAATAAAAATGGCATAGCTCTCATATCATTATGGATTAATTTAATGGCTGTGATCATATACACAACTATTCAGAAGTAAGTCCCACTGAG